TGGGGAACGCCCCACCCCCACCCCAGGGTAGAAAACAGAACAGGCTACATAGTTTGCAGGGGCCCAGTGCAAAAAGTGTCCTATCCCTTATGCAAAATTATAAGGATTTCGAGATGGCGACAGACACCATGAAAACAAGCATGGAGCCTTTCTAAGCACCTGGCCCTGTGTGATGGAGGGGCACACGCCCACAAAGCCATGTGTGGTGGGGAAGAAGTGTCCCCACCACCACCCTGCCAGCAGCCTGGACAGTGGCAGTCAGACTTACTTCCTCCAAGGAGGGTGCTCAGACCCACAGGCAGCCAGAGGTGACGTGGGGCCAGCAGTTAAGCGTCCCTCAGGCCTGGATGGAGACACTCCAGCTTGGAAGAGACAGAGCTGTCCTCAGCCAGGGGCTGGGAGGTGGGGACAGCACCCTACAAGGACCAGGAATTTGGTCCCACCCCCAATTCACAGCCTCCTGCAGGTGCAAAGGACCTGTCTGGAGGAAACTGTGGGGTCTGTCAGAAGCACTGCTCCCCACGCATCCCCCCAGGACACTGCAGCTCCCTGTGGGGTAGCCCCTGGCCAAAGCCAGTGACCCTGTCCAAGGTGACGGATCCACAGGCCCCAGAGGACACACGCTTTCCCCACAGCCCTGGATGCGTGCTGCTTTCTTATCTGCTGTGTCAGATATTCTCGTGCTCTCTGCGAGGACAGCCTGGGATCACGGTGTCTGATCCCGCTCTGCCTCCACGTGACTGTGGCGCTGTCAACCCAGCTCTGAGCCGGTGTCAGCGTCTGTGTGCTTGTCAGAAATGCAATTTGCTCTTCAGCCTCAGACGGCAAAGCGGAGCCTCCTTTGGACGCTTTTGGCTGACAGTGGCTAAGAGAAGCAAGGGGCCATCCATAATCCTTAAGAAATGTTATTATTCCATGAAAATCACTCAGTTAATCCACTTTAATAGCCCTGTGCAGGACCCTTGATGCAGCGCAGTCCTCGCAGTATTAACTTCAGAAATATTAGCTGTCACTTTCTATCCAACAGAGAAGCTCACCACATGCGCCCTGGGGGTGCTCGTTCCTCAGCTTAATACCCTCTAAGGAGCAGTGACACTGCCCCCCTTAGGGCATAAATCCCCCCACGCCCAGGGTGGAATTGTGGGTACAGAAGAGCTGAGTAGCTCCCCCACTCCTGCACTAGGAGGAGGACAGCACCCCCAGCCCGTGCCCGCGGGGGCCTCATCTGCCCACCTTCCTCCTGGCCTCCTGGGGCCCACCTCCAGCAACACACTGACCCCAGGGACTGAAAGTGAGGGGCTGTGTCCTGGGGCTGCAGAGATGGCAGGACGTGTCTGGGATGGGTGGAATTGCCTAGCACACTGGAGATCCTTGAGACGCTGATGGTGAATGACTCCAGAACACTGCCTCCTGGTGGGACCACAGACACCCACTAGCTGGCCTAAGGGGCCATGTGTCCAGGGTGATTTGTGGGTGCTGAGAAGGCTATCCCATCTTGACACCTCCCCTCACCATCCCTAGGGACCCCGGCCCGGGGTGGCTCCTGAAGCAGTGGCCACCCAGCCCGAGGACCAGCCGTTCCAGCTGCAAACCTGGCCCTGTGGGCAGGAGAGTCAGGAGAGGCTCCAGGGAGGCACCTGCTCCCGCAGCCTCTGGGCTCTGTCAGGCCTCCCCTGGGCCCCAAGGCCTCCAGGCTCTCTCAGGCTGGCCAGGCCTCCCCTGGGGCCCATCTCCAGATCTTTTTCAGACCACCCTGCTTTTAGAAATAAATAGTTTCCAGCAGTGTCTGCTCCCAAATCCTCATTGATTTTTGTCTCTGTTTTCCCAGCTTCCTGTCACATGGGGCTATTGCAGGTGATGGATTGAAACTTACCACCTCTTAAAAGTGTCCAGAGCAAGACCACAGTCAGGCACACCTTCCAGGGCTTCAGGGAGGGCAGCGGGGCACGTGGAGGCCTGTCTCCTTGTTCCCTGAAATGACAGCAAGGATATCCAAGAGTCAGGATGTGCCCCCCACCCCCCACTGACTCAGGTCCAAACACCTCCTCTCCCCTCCTTGTTCTGTGATTTTGGAGTCACCCAAACCTCAGGCCCCAGTCACCAACTTTCCCCAGCCCCAGAGTACTGGAGGACAACTCAGGTGTGGTCCTGGGTGGCCCCATGGGATCAGAACAAGCTCTGCCCTTCCCCAGTGTGGCCCTGACACTCCAGTCCTCTGGACAGGGAAAAGGGGACTCTAAGGACACAGCTTGTACTCTGGTGGCCAGTGACCATTAACCCTCCCTCCAATCTGTTCCCTCTGCATCTGGCTGCAGGGACACAGGTCCCCCACCTCCTGCTTGGCAGCCTGAGCACCTGCCACCTGTTGGGATGCCTCTGCCCACCCCAGGCCCCAGTGTGACTCTGATAAGCCAGCCCTCAAGAGCCAACAGCCCCTGGCTCTTCCCCAGCCCCTGGCTCGTCCAGGTGTCAGCCAACCTTCCCAGGGCTGCCCAGGCACAGTCCCCTTCGCACTGCAGAGGGACAGCACCAAAGGATATGTGTGGAGACACTGATTCCAAGGAACTGGCTTCAGCGACGGGGGCTGGAAGTCTGAGTCCTGCAGGGCACAGGCTGAAGACCCAGGGGAGAACTGAAGCTGCAGCTCAAGTCTGGAGGCAGAAGCCCCCTCCTGTGGGGAGCCTAGGCCTTTCTTTGAAGGCCCTCGCCTGATTGGACAAGGCCTCCACACTGTGAAATGTCGTCCACTTTACTGAAAGCCTGCCCATTTCAATGTTAAAACAGATAGACACATTTGACCAAACATCTGGGTTCCATGGTCTAGCCAAGGAGACACACAGATTAGCCATCACAACTGCCCTCAGGGTGCAGAAGTTCCACCTCCACCAGGGATTGCTTCAGGCTAAACATTGCCTCCTCTTGTATGTCCTTAAAACAACTGCCCCTAGGTCCCAGAGTGAGCCCAGAGTGCCCCTCCATGGCCCTTCTCAGAGGCTGAGACCTCCTCCAAGGGCAGAGAACTGATGGGGAGTGGAGTGGGACCTGGGACAGGGTCACTGAAACTCGGAAAAGGAGCCCAGGCCAGATGTGGCATTCTGTACCATGGCCCCTGCGCCCAGGGGCCACCTAGACAAACATGTCGGGGAGGCCAAGTTCAGGCCCCCAGCCAGGATGGAGGCCCCACAGCCTTGGGAATCGTGGGAAATTCCCATCTCCACTGCCATTCCTGGGGCAACCAGAATCTCTGAATGAGGTCCTGATGGACCAGGTGTGATGGCTGAGCCCCTTGACTCTGGAGGGAGAGTGGTAGGTGAGTGGTGGCAGGACTCGGCTCCCAGCGCTGTGCCCTCTGCCCGAGAGGCTTTCCCCTTTCTCCCTCGCCCACTCAGGCCAACTCATCCTCCAGGGCTTAGCTGTCCTCTGAGGCACCTTCCCAACCTCCATCTCCTCACGGGGGGCTACATCTCTCCCTCCCTGCTCCTGGCCACGATGGCCACACATCTCTCCCTCCCTGCTCCTGGCCACGATGGCCACACATCTCTCCCTCCCTGCTCC